GTTCTTACTATCAATGTGCCGTTAGATTTCTTTCTTTTTTTCTTCTTTTCATTCTCGACACGCGTCACCAACCAGCCTTCATAATTTTTGAGCAGCATCGATCTTCTATGGAGATTTACTAAACAAGAAAAATGAGAAGCAATTTTGTGACGCGAGGCGTGGAATTTCAATGAATATTCTGCTCTTAACGGGTGATTTGCGCATATAAATAATCCAGCGATTCTTAAATATAATTGATTGCTAAACGTATCGAATTTTGCTAATATTCAGATATCGGTTTGCACTGTTGAAAGAAGACGCGTCTTTTATCAAGGAAGAATTTATTCGAGATTCTCCGACCTCAATCGAGATATTCCTTTTCCCCGAAGGGAATCGATGCTCCCATTCTGGCGTTTCAAGACTTCCGGGGTAGTGAGTAACGGAATACTCGACAAACAGAATTCACTTCAGTGTACAAGCTTGAAAAATCCCGAAAGAAACTTAGCACACAACGTGCATGGCACTTATTAAGGACGCAAGTAGTAATTTTAGTTATATTCGCACGTAATTTTTCATCCAAGCTTTAATATTGGTTGCCTGTTTTGATCAGCTCACACAGCAGAACATATTTTCAAAATATTTCATCGCAAGATTGAAATATTTCAGAAATTTTTCAAGAAATCTCTCTAAAATAATAAATATAATATATATATATCCAGAATATCAGAATTTTTGAAATATCTTTGCCTTAAAATATTTGTGTAATATTTTTGTGAAATATTTTTATGCAATATTTTAAAATGTTTTACGCGACTAATTTTCATTTGATCTATATACGATCTGGTAGTACTTCAAAAATATGTTTAACATGTAATTATCTCATGTAAAATGATTCATAAATATTTTATGCTGTATGAGATGGCAATCACATATTTCTGCACTAAGAAAAGTTTCTGATTAAAAATGAACAAACCAGTAGATTCTGATCATACCACTCAGAATTCTAGTCATAATAATCGATCATCCAGATGAACTAGAATTCTGATTGATATAATCAGAATCTACGGTTCATCTATTTTTAATCAAAAATTTTCCTTAATGCACAAGCGCGAACAATAAACTTCAAACTTCAGACCATTATTTATCCAGGTCAGCGCGTCTCTTGTTCTGCGAGAATGTGATATTCGATAAAATAGTTCCATCGATTCAAGTAGCTCCCTTTAAACCGTCGAAATATCTCAACTGGAATTAATCTTATCGGTAGCGGTGCACATGTGATAAAAAGAATAGCGACAAAATAACACCTACGAAATTATTTTTACGCTCCTTTAATATTACTGCTGTATCATGACGCGTTGAGAAAACGCTTGCTTTTTCTTTGCGGAAAGAAGATAGGAACCTGATGCAGTGATATCCTATTTCCTAAGACCCTGATTATGGTGTGCCTTCAGTAGTGAGAGCTTCGTGGAGAAAGCAGTCGATGATAGTGTACGATGTAGTACGACGCGTTTTGCTATCTCAAAGGAAAAGCGAATCTAAGTCTAAGAGCGTACAATATAAAATATAATCTCTAATAGGAATAAATATGTACTTAAATATATATATATATATATATATATATTATTTTTATAATGACACAGCATAAATAATTCGTATAGAGAAATGTGATAGAATGATCATAGTTGCATCTAAACGATGCGAGAAACGCGTCGTACCGTCGTTTAAGGGTTATTCTAGCCACTCGGACGAAATCTCGAGATTGAACATTGAGAGCGGAGCTTCTACGTTACGACTACGTTAAACTTTACAATCGTCTAAACTTTATTAACGTCGTCAACGGTACTTGCCACTATTCTCGTAATGCACGGTGAAGCATTATTGTAGCGAAAATGCTAATTGTATTGCTATACGTGTAGTGAATGCCGCGCGGCTTTCTTTCCTGATGCGTATGCAGCTAAATCGAAAAAATATATATATGTATAAACATATTGCAATATATATACATATATATAAATATATTGCATATATTTACAATACGCGTGTTCAGCATCCGTAGAAACAAGCAGATAAATAGTTGATAATCAGTTCTGTTAATTCGAGTCGTTTCCAAAGAGCGAATGTTAATACATGTCTCTGCTCGAGATAAAAATGCAACGGTAATCGCAGATTACATTATATTTTTACATAAGCAAATTTTATCTGTGCGAAAATTTTATCTGCATGAACTCCGTATCGAATTACAGAGACCGTTCATTCATATTTCCACGTCTATCCCGCTTATGCACGCATCTCAGAAATGATTTATGAATCAGAAACATGAGTTTATATGTATAGTTTTAATGGTTTTCCATTTTACTATATCATTATAAAAACGCTTAGTACATGTTCTATTTTTTAAAGTGAAAGAGTTAAATGAGCAAGTAGAGTACAGCGTGAAATCGGAATTCTACGCGCTTTATACGACTCCTCTTTCTACTATAAGCCGATTTGCCTGTCACGCCGGACAAAGAGATTCAACTGATATTATATCATTCGCGACTTTAACACTTGGACATTCAGAGAAACCGTAATCTGAAATGCTAAGTTCGGGATTATTCAGGGAAGGACTGATTCAAGTTGCTCCGCCGCGATACGCGTAGCAATTAAGCCGATCATTATTACTAATTACTGTACACTCAGTCCTTGCTGCGCGCGACCCATTATTACTCGGACGAAGGGGTAACGAAACAGTTAGAAAGCCTATTTGCGAACTCAATCTACGGGAGAAATCCGTATTGTGAAATTCCCCGAATATTCGAGTCTCTTCGAAGTTTCGCGTACAGTTTCACATACAGTTCGCTTTTGGTTGGTCAACCCGAGTCGCAACTGTGTCAGAAATTGAACTGATCACGTTTACATCTTCCGAAACGTGTTTGTGTCTCGAGAATTTTATTATATCAAAATACTTTTTGGATCTATCATATTTTACATTTAGCACTTTCTCTTTCATCAACCAATGCTACCGATGCGTATGTATTCCTTTTTTATTTCTTTCTCTTTCTCTTCAATAATGACTTCTCTTTTGACATCGAGACGCGATCCTTCAATTGATTTTTCTAAATGGTATGTTCGTTTTCGTATTCTCTCGTTACTCTGCAGCACGCCTTTCATTACTATGAAATACCGAAAGATTGGCTCTGCTCTCTTACTAGGACAACGAGATAACTTTTATACTAAACAGTCACCTAGCAACGCGAATATGATATATCTTAAAAAAATTCAATGTTATACTTTCTTTTGTCAAAAGCACTCTTCTATTATTTCTATATACGCAACATACTTTTTTCTTTTTCTCTCTCTGAAATCTGTAGAAATGGATAAATTTTATCAAACTGAAACGAATCTTGTATCTTGAGAATGTTCAAAATATTTGTACTATAAGAAAGAAAATTAAAATTTTCGCCTAAATAGAAATACTCGCGATAGTGATACGCAGCATGAATATTAATTTTGTTAAAATTTTTCTTTTAATTATTTTAATTGCTTTTCGTACAATGGAAGATACTTTCGTATCTTTTTTCAAAATTTTGCAATATTCAAATGACTTTGATTCGAGTTGTATTATTTATTTATTTGTTAGTTTTGTTTGATGAACTTGCGAATCGTGTGTTATTTTTGGCTTGCCGTTCTTACACACTGCCGAGAAATTTATTTGTCGAATCTCAAGATATATTTCGTGCAGATAAGTGCATCATTTCGTAGGCTTAACTGATCTCTATTCGAAATGATAATCGTTTGTGTTTTAAGATACGAAATCGTAACGAAATTTAAATTGGAACGAAAACAAACAAAAGCGCGATTAGATACAAAGCGTTTTACGCTTGAAGCAGTAATATTGACTTATGATGAATAAGGCAAACAAAGGAAAAATACAGAGATGAAAACCGAGGAAAACAGAATAGAATATCTTGATGATCGACAAGACCCATCCCAGCGATTTCAATGTATTGCGTTTATATATCACCTAGTTTGTCATTACTACCTATTGATTATTTACGTCATTCGATTCCGTATCCGTAAAATCCGAGACTGAAACGTCAAAATCTACAATTCTGTATCGTGCAGGAAACTGAAACGTGATCAGATTAGTAGGCCCCTAATTTGTGCCTATTAGTCTTTCCCCTTTCTTATCTGTCACGTTTACTTTATTGTGAAAATTGTGGATCGTGGATTGTTGACACGCTCTTATTGCAATAATTTACCTACGAGGTACTCGCAACTCTTGAAGAAGAGACTTATGACTTTATTTACATGCGAGGGTGAAGTTTGTCTTTTTTAAAACACACACACACACACACACACACACACACACCCACACACACACACACACACACAAACACACACACACACACACGCACACACACCCACACACACACACACACACACAAACACACACACACACACACGCACACACACCCACACACACACACACACACACACACACACGCACGCACACACGCACGCACGCACGCACGCACACACACACACACACTTTCTCTCATCTATCTTTCTCAATATAAATTATTACGTAATATAGGACTATGCGCGGCGTATATTGCATCCAGTTCTATTTTAACTTACCATATACGAACTGCGAGTTAGAGTTAATTATTTACAACCTTGAGATTACGCTGTAACATATCGTGCTACAGGTGTGTGTACACATGTGACAAGGAACTCTGGTTTATAGAAATCATTCTTTCGCTATGATCCTGAAACAATATTTCCCGAATTCGAAATAATACGAAACGTCTCTTATAAATTTTCCCAAAAAGACTGGCAATACATTATATGATTAATGTCGTATGATTTTAAATATATGTATTTTCGTTTGAATTTTTTTACGTCGATTAAATAACAAAAATAAGTGCGGAAACTTGACTAAAAATAATGTTTTTAACGATATATTTGTTATCAATCAAAAAGAGGGAAAAATTCTAATTTTTTTTTATCAGGATTGTCTAACATCCAAATGTGAAAAAAATTAAATTTTTATCAACCTTGTGATTTTATAAATATTGTTAAAGCTCGAGCAAGATTCGAGAATAGTTGCTTCAGGACTAACTTATATGCCCATATAAAAGACAAAGAAAAGTAATCCTGAAAGGAATGAACAGTTGATACATTGCAGAAAGAACTTCGGGCGTATTTAGGAAAAAAAAAATATGGATCTATAAAGCCACGGCTTTCGATTATGAAACACTGCGCGCCTACGTTTATTTACCTAATTGTTCAATAGCTTAGCTTTTATTACGAACACCATCTTTTCCATACACCGTCGCAACGGTGCGCGCAGCGAAGTTTTCTCTCTGCATTGCTATTCACCGTCAAGATCTGATTATGTTTAATTCACAACAAGAGAAGGACATGAAACACTTGTCGCCACGCCAGCGAACGAACAAACGAACGAACGAACAAGCGAGCGAGCGAGCAAGTGAGCGAACGAGCGTGCGAGCGACTTGGTAACATCTACATATTTTCGTCCGACAGTCTCGTCAGACCACTCGCGTATTGCCCTGAGTATTGTTTGTACGTTAATATCTACATGTCCTTCCGCGGATTTTATGATCTCAAAGACGGTTTCAAGCAGTTACATCTCATTCCGCTGAGTTTTCCCGCTCAACGGTATACCGACTAATCTCATCGATCGAGCGGAACATCCTCGAAGTTCGTTACATTACCGAAGTGCTGGAAGCCGTTCTTGAAGATCCGTCCTCGGCTGGTGCCCGCTTTCATCTGATCGAGCAACGTCACATTGTCCTCGAAGTCCTTCACCCATCTCGCGGTCTCGTGGCCCCAATGAAATCGAATCGGCGCAGCATTGTGATAGACCTTCTTGATGCCGAGGCTACGTATTTCGATGCCCTCGTCGGAGTGGTAAAACGACTTCTCGCAAAAGTCCTGGCCCAGAAACGGTTCCAACTCAGAAACAATTTCCATGAAGGTCGGGCGTTCGCTGGGCCGCCACTTGAAGCACTTCTCCATGAGCTTCTGTATGGTTTCGGGACAGTTCCGTGGTATGTTCAGCATGCCTTTGCGTAACACGTGATGCAGCACCTCCTCGTTCGAGAAACCTTGATACGGTATCTCGGCGAGAGTGAGTATCTCGTAGAGCACGACACCAAATGACCACACATCTGAATCGGATGTGAATACACCATCGGAAAGATTCTCTGGTGCCATCCAGCGTATCGGCAATAGACCTTTCTTGCCGATCTTATAGTAATCGGTTTCGTAGATATCTCTCGCCATGCCAAAGTCGCCGATCTTGCAGACCAGGTCTTTGGACACCATACAATTGCGGGCGGCCAGATCGCGGTGTACGAATTTCTTTGATTCCAGGTAGGCCATACCGTCGGCGATTTCCGCGGCCATTCTCATTATCCTGGACGCATTCGGCACCATCTGAGTATCGCGTATCCTACGCAGGTACGTCTTTAAATCGCCATTCTCCATGAGCTCCATGATGACGAATGGCGGATTGCCCATGGAGACTACGCCCAGCAATTTGATGATATGCCATGTCGAAAAGTTCTTCATGACCGAGGCCTCGTTCAGGAACTCGTTCTTTTCTCGTTGGCTAGCGGTTTCAGAGATCGTTTTAATGGCTACTTGTCCGGTGCCATCCAAGTATCCTCGATACACCATGCCGAAATTACCCAAACCGAGCTCCTCCAGAATCTCAACATTCTCCCTAGGTACTTCCCAGCTATCAACGACATACTTGGTCTCGATATAGTCTGGATTCACGCTGGCTATCAATCGCTCCTGTGTCCTCTTCTTCTGGTGACTTCTAATAAGGAATATTATCGCGGTCACAGTAATGATTAACACAGCTAAAGTCAACAGCGTTGCCATCATTATTCGACTGTTATCCGATAAACCGACTGAGAAATAGATTGTATTGGTGAAATAACCATCACCCGCTAGCGATGTGGAACGCATTCTCAGGCTATATCTACCCGGACTGAGGTTTTTGATGTAATGATGGATATATTTTTCCCTGTGCCCAATGTATGGTTTGCACTCGGTACTCTTTTTCGCATCCTTTACATCCATATTTGTGTACTCGATAGTGTACGAGACAGTGAATGCGTTTGGATCCTTAACTGATTCCCAGATGACTTCGATTATCGTATTGTTAGTCACATAGACTTTCACGTTGTGAACATCATCCGCGTTTGATCGTTTCAACGTCCGGACGTTCGCATATTGAATTGTTGAGCACATTGGTGCGTCGCTGTCTTTGACACCACACGCAGCAATTGTGATGGTATATAAAGAATAATGACGCAAGTTTTTCAAAACATATGAAGTATTTTGCGCACTTACGTTGTATATGTACATCTCATCATTCAATTGACTACTCGTGATGCTGTTACCAGCGTTAACCGAAACATCTGTCGCAGTTTTCTGCCCTTCCTGCGTTGAAGTGGATAAATTGTTCGTCACATCATAAAATTTACTCTCCGGTGAATTGTAGTCATTAAAAACGCAATAATCCTTCCAGCCGGGCGATAAATGGCTAATAGTCATATTCTTGTGGCAGAATATTTCAAATTGCTTAGAAGTCTTCGCGTCCTTGAAATAGCAGGAATTAGGATTCGTGATCAGCGACGTCTTAATTGTCACTTCGTGTATCTCCTTTGCTTCGTTGACCAAAGCATCGACACAGTAATCCCTCGAGGCGATTAGTTCCTTATCGTCCAGTCGAATCGTGCTGGAGATCATATAGTAGCCTATAGGACCGTTCGAATACACCGGTGGACCCCATTTGAGTAGAATTTCGCTGTCGCTTATTGCGATCGAGCTTACGTTCGTCGGCACCGAAGGTATCGCGCTCTTCGTTCGGAAAAAGATAATGTTCGACTGACCCACTGGAGTTACAAAGGAACTTGAAGAATTCTTGTTCCTTGTTGTGAACGTTTTCACATACGCGGCATACTTGGTATATGGTTTTAAGTTCGTGATATACTTCGAAACAGTGGAATTCCAACTCGGTATACCAACATCCACTATCTGCCACGTGTTATTACCGCAAGCATTCGCCTCGTACGTTATATTTTCGTTATCGGTCTCTATATAACTTAGCAGATAGTTGAGCAGCTGTTGGCCTTCTGGTGGCTTATAACTGTCCCAACTCAGAATGACGTGATCCGCCTCTCGCTTTTTCACCGTGATATTTATGTTAACGATATTACAAGCAACTTTGTCACCATTTGACTCTGGTTGGACCTCAAGATCTGTGAAGTTAGTGATATTCACCATTTTACCGAACTGCTCTATCTTGGAGAGACAGAGCTTGGGATTGTAATGAAAGAACAGCCTGCCGGTTTCTATCGTTATTTTTTGGGATAGCGGGAAGAGGGAAGAGAGATTCGGATTATCCAGAACCACGAAACTCGCATTGTTAATGTCTAAATTTTCACCTTTGATCACTTTCAGCTTCTTGAAGAAGTTCAGCGATGTGATCGGGAAAGAATGCGTTATCTTCAAATATTCGGTTATCTCCTCGATTAAACCGAATGCATCCGCCAATTCATTCATTATATTTGGATTACCATTTCTAATTTGAAATTCCAGAGCCCCCTTAACTACCGTTATACCGCGAAAACTTTGAGCATCTGAAATATGGCGTATAATAGCACCTTTTGCGATTTTACGGCACTGTCCTTTGCAAACCCGACAATTCGTTATCTGTAATATAAAATAAAAAAATAAAGAAAAAAGCCAATAACAAAGATATGGATATATATATATACTGCATTTTATGCAGTAAAACACATGAAGCTCATACATTTTTGTCATCAACGTAATCCTCAAAACCATCAGGACATTGAGTGACACAGGAATTATTGAAAGGTCGCCATGTTTGTATCTCCTCCAATTTAGAAAATCTTCTGATATGATTCATATTTTGGCATTCGTCCTTGCTGATGCACCGTCTCGAGAGATATGCGTATCTGTGAACAGAAAATGATTGTTACAGCAAAATAAGAGATCTTCCTACAGATAAAATGTCGCATGTTTATCGCCAGACATGCCCTGAAAACTTGAATACGCCGTATCTAAAACACAATGTGTAATATCCAACTTCGAGATATTTTATGTAAGATCTTTCGTTTGAATTTAAAATTTTGTTCAGCGTCATCTCTTTTCAAAATTCCTTAATTTTCAGCATTAGATGTTTCGAAAATTTAAATTTTAACTCAAATTTACTTTAACACAATTTTTTAATATGTACCAGTTTAAAACTAAATATGAAGAAATTGTAAAAATAGCGACTCTATTAAGTAAATGTTTGCCAAGAAAAAAAGGTAGAATTTCAACTTTATTAAAATCTTAATAAAAATTGGTAATTTTCTTGAAATAATTTACATACTTTAAATCAAGAGATTTTAGTTTTTAAATTACAACTCTTTCATTATTCATGTTGCATTTATATGCAAGGTAAAAAAAAAAAAGAGAAGTACAGTAAAAAATTTAATTATTTTTTTTTACGTCATTTGCATTTTCGCAAAAATTACTCACAAATTTGGGGGACAGCTTTCAATGCATCTTCCCTCGTGTCGATAATGCTTACAGACGTAACATTCGGTATCACTTGGACCGTAACATTCCCCGAGACATTGTTCATGACACTTTGGTCTCTCTAACTTTTGACAACGTTGGGCAGTCCAGCAATAACTGCCAGGACATTGAGAGCATCCTGCGAAATATTATTTTTAAAGGAGTATTATTTTTTCCGTTGCAATCATCTTTCTAATTCTCTGAGAAATAACGTTTAATTGCACACTTTAAATCTTTATTATCAAAAATCTTTATATTTGGAAAAAATATTGATATTCTAATTAAGACTTCTATTTATCACCTTTCACATGATGCGGGCAACTCTGTTCGTTTCTGTTATCTTTGATGAAGTTCTCGCCGGCTGAAACAATGAGACTCCAATTCACGGTATTTGTAAAGCAGAGAGCGGGATTCTTCTCTATGCGCACGCCACCCCGGGATATCTTTGTCAGGTTGATGAGGCCGATCTGCGAAAAAAGTTCCGCAGGGATTAGTTGTGGAATTGCGAGTCAAAGGTCGAATGGCTGGTTAATTTGATTGACTGATTAATATCACTTGACCTGAACATTTGACCGAGCCCTAGGCAACATACTGGGCTATACTTTCAAACCAAGACTCGACTTGATTCGGCGTGGGAATGAACGATTGAGATATGGAATGTACGTGACAACCGTCATGTGTATGCGAATAAAAATTCTTTATAGCGTTCGCACGATACGAAAGCTGTGCTCGTATAATACTATTTATTTTAACATGTTGACATTACATTCGATGACCTCATAACTGCGTATCAAAAAGTTCCTAATCTTTCTACTAGATCTTTTATATTTTTTTTTTATATTGAACGCGATTCAATAAATACAATCTTAAATTCATTTTTACTACTTAGATGAAAGTTAGCGTCTTTAAGATAACGTTAAAATTATGCGCGGGCCGTTATGACCCAATTAAAATTCCACTTGGAATAATTTTATTATTTGAGAAAACAAAGACAAGGTTATAAAATTAAGAAGATGAAGAAATAAAAAGCCGAGCAGAAAAGTCTACATGATTTTTACCTCCTGCATGCTCTTCATTTCATAAATCATGAAAGCGTAGTCCGTGAGAAGTATATCGCCTCTGATGACTTCGAGATTTGGGAAGAGTTTACTGAGACTTCTCAGACCTTCCACGCGATATAAAAGAAAATAACCGGTAATCTCTCTCAGCTCCGGGAAGCTAACGTTCTCGAAATCCGCCTCAGTGTTGTTTTCGATCAATACGATTTGCAGAAAACCCTCGATCACACGGCAGTCTTTTAATACCGCGAAAGTGTCAACACTGTTTCTGATATCTATGCTCTGACAGATACCGTCTCCGATTGTCATATTCTTGTGCCTTCGTCCTTTCTCTCGTCCTACCTCTTCGCTCGATTTCGTATGCGATTTGGGCAGATTCGACGATTGACTAGACTGCTGACTGTTTTTCGACCCGATATCCGTAGATCTGAAACAATTCAGTTTTTCATTAATTTGTTTTACCATTCAAATGTTGACAGAATTCTTCCAGTCGACAGAAAGTTGAGCTTTCAATTGTTTTTCTAAGGAATTCAAAAGAAGTTTGTTAACGCGAACAAATTTATCGATCTTCTTTTCGGTTTTTCTTTTTTCGCAAACATTTTACGCGCTTTCGAAAATTCAGTCTCAAATCGTCAAGATATTCTATAGAAATATTCTCAGAAATTATCGTAAAAAACCAATAATTTCTTTTTCAGTGATTCTAATCATTAATTGATTCGATACAAATCACAATCTTCATTTAACGATAATAAAATGAAATTTATTTTTCATTTAGCATTCAAGTGTCTTCTCATTCGGAAAATAGAAATACATTTCGCAGAATTAAAAGGATCACTTGCATTTAAATTATTACCCTTTGTACACAGTGTCACGAATTATTCGTTAGGCAAAGTAAAATTAGCAAAAGGCAATTAAAAGCCCCTAATAACTCTAAGAAGATTAAAGGGAATTTTAATAGCGACGGTGTGTAGAGACGTCGCAGCAATCTTGGCCAGCGATACTTGTGATAATCAATTTGAGAGTGATTAATTGGTGAAAATAAAGTCACTTTAGTACTTATATTCGACTAAACGTCAACGTGGTAGCAGCTATACCTAAAGTTCATCGCTTAAAGCGTTTCAAGGAGGCAATCAGCAATTTCCGTACACGTGGACGCCTTCCGCGTTTTGAAAATTTGCGGACGGATATCACGTACCTCTCCAATTACGAAAGAATTTGCTGATATACCGGGTAAACGTGAGCAAAAGTTCAGTTTACACAAAAATCAAGTAATTCGTTCATAAGTAAAACGGTTTATTCAATCGATTTTCCAATAAACTCGACTCTTTCCTAAAATTTTTGATCAACATTCTTTAGTAATAAAACCTGTGTATGTTACATTTAAAAGGATGTTGTTCGATAGAGATATAAAATATAAAAAAAAAAAAGTACCAAAAATATTCAATATAAAAATAAAAGTATTCAATAATATATTTATGTATTTGACATACCAATTTATATAGAAATATCAAATTTAGTATCTTTATACTACATATATCTCTCTCTAAAAATATCAAAAATATTAAAAAGGGCATCAAATTCATATATCTCTGATTCTTATGATAATATACCTGGAGGTATCGATCGCTCTGTTATTCCTGTAAACGGCCGAGGTATCGAAAGATCCAGACTCGTAGTAACCAGTAGCCGCCGAGCTCCGATCATTGTAAAGCTCCTCTTCAGAGTCCTCCTCCTTAGTCCTGTCCGCGTAATCAGGATCGTATTTGCCCTTGGCACTTTTATCTCGGTACTTCGTACCCGCTTTCGGCCACCTTTTCTCCTGGCAGAGCGCCAGGCCCACCATCGTCACGCACAACAGAACGATCGGCAGCAGCGACTTCCTCGTCTTCATCTCCTTGTCTCATTGAACACCGCGCGTTTGAAAGCCTCCCGTTGAACGTTCCCGACCTTATCCCCACGTGCCGCCCCGACCACCACTTTCGTTTTCTTTGATTGATCGACGATTGATAGTCGACCCTGCGAGCTTGTCCCTATTCTCCTTCGTCCACTTTTTCCTCGCCTACCCACACGGCCTCGTTCGCGTTCGATTGTTTGGGCTTCTCAAAGGCAGTAATTAGTAGACTGTAAAACGGATCGTAATTCCCTATTCAGTTTAAAAGAGAGAAACGCTACTTGAAGTTATATGCGATAAACTGTAATGCTTCATCTCGTTACCATCTTTAACTCATGATGTAAAAAAAAAAAGAAACAAGCTAAAATATTAGCCATTTATTCAAGATCAGTTATAAAAAGGAATGTATAATAAGAGCATTCGTATGAAAAAGAATGAACAAATGAGCTATAATAAACGTTTGTGAGTTCTGTAGTAATTGACCCTTTTAACCCACGAGAGTGCTATGTTAGAATTAAATGTTTAAGCAATTCATAAAGTGTCAGAAGGAATGTGCAGTGCTATTCTCTTCTGCTTTCCAATGTTTGCGGGTAATAATAAAATATATATCCAAATAAAAAGTCCTTTTCCTTTTTCTATCCGAAACTCTTAGAATTGGATATCTAAAGTGCTACCCAATTAACTCAATTAAATGGACATAAAATATGGATAGAATTTCGTTCTATTTTAAATGATTATTACTCGACACGCAAATCTCCTGCTGTACCTGCGGATTAAAAGCAATGCGATTCTTCCCCTATGAGAAAAACACTCTGGATTATTCCGCGCTCTTGTTGTTCTCCTCTTCCGCCTTCTCCTTTTCCTCCAAGGAGGTAATCGATCGATCGTCTACGTTCGTCCAGGCTCGCGTGAACCTTCTTAGTTTCTCCCTCCCCCGTGCGGGTTCCGGGTAACCCGGTTTCAAACTCGCAGGGGTGTTTCCTTTCCCGGAAGAATCAGAAGTCTTGAGGTTGCGCGAGTTTCCGCAAAGGTTGCGTACAACACAACAAGTAAGGCTGATCGCGACTGACGCCTTCAAGATATCTTCACAATATCTTCTTGTTGAAAACGAAGTATATTTGGGCCTTCATAATTGCGTCGTCGTCACACGCCGTAATTATCTGTCGAACAAAAGTTGAAACGTAATGTTTAGCATTGAGCAATTTCGATTTGTTGCTATGAGAAATCGAAAAGTGATGGATGAGACTGTCACTACTTTAATAAATTTAATGTGTAAATAGATTTTAGAAGTGCAGGAAATTTAAGATATATATAAAATATAGTATTTCCAATATCGCAAATATATATCAATATATATGCATCTTTCATTTCTTTCTATACCATATTTCTTTTTTATTTCTTTCTACGTTCAAGTACAATATAGAATACAATATAGAATACGTAATTATATATATATACGCGTATATAATTAATTTAATTGGGTAAATTTGCATAGGCTGATGCTTGAGAGGATATTTAAGTGTATCCGCTAATTAAAGTTGCATAAAAATATGACAAGAGTTCTAAACTAATTCACAAGTTAATATGGTTAATGTCGAGCCACACGCATTTCAAACATCGCAATTGTAACAAAACGCATTTGTAACATCTATAGTTTTTCTAACTGCGCATTTTGCAACTGAATATTCTCTAAATAACTTCAAATAAACGATACTTGAATAAAAATGAAAATATTCGTTATTGTCTTCAATTAATTCTGTATAATCAAATAATAAAAAGTAAATGATAATTTGATTAAAATATAAAAGCGGACATTCTTTACAAATATTCAACGTTGGATGAAAAACGCAATTGGATAAAAAAACACAGTTAAATAAAAAATACAATTAAATTCGGAAAAATATGAATCTTGTGATGCAATTAATTATAATTATAATTATATATGATTAATATATGATTGTAATTATAATAGTTTAATGTCGCTATCGACTGATTTTAATTAAATACTGCGGCTAAAATTGTTAGTCACAGGTAACCATAGAAATACGTTATACATTGAAAATGATATCAAAATTACTAATGAATATCAAATTATTTCCAATGTATGTTAATAATTCTTGGAATTCAGGTTATTTCGTAATAATTCTCATTGTGCGTCTCGTATCCTTTATATATACGTACCCGAACAATGTAATTATCATATTTCACATAAGCAAAACGTGCAACTGCACCGTATTATTGTACATATCTCAAGTAGGGATCTCTAGTTAATTAACTAAGATATACCCGTTGTTGAAATTTAAATTTGATTTAAATAAAATTTCGCGTCTATACATATAATTGCTGCAATAAAGTTTTATTTTTGTAGCATTTATATTTGTCGAATACGTGCGATTCTATCGCGAAAAATTACGACTTTCCGGAAAAGATAAGAGAGAAATTCAATTTTGAGTTTTCGTGAAAAGCAATCTGAGTTATCAGCGACACGTTATCACACATATGTAGTTGCGCAAGATATTGCAATATTGAAAATGCTCAAGATATTTTTATTACGTATGAACGCGTCTCTATCTCAAAGTTTTGTATGTAATTGTAGTAAATCAAGTTAATTCTCTCTTTGGCTTGCCATCAAAAATGCTCAAATATGCTTGTTAATTAAAGCTATTTAAACGCAACTTATATGTAAATAATATATTTGAGATTTTGTCATCTATTTCACATTCGAGATTTTATCATCATTCCTTATCGTTAAAAAGCAGAAAACGGAAAGTTAAACGGGAAATTTTAATATATTTGCCTCTAATTTTGGTAAAATATAATTTTAAACTAATTTTGAAGTAGATTATAATTTTGAACCCCATGCAAGTCTCTTGGACAAATTGAGAGTTTAAGTTTTATTAGACTAATTTGCATACAAAGTGAAAGGTTGTTAAAGGCAAGATGTGCTCTTTGACATGTTCGAGGATAATCTTTCTCAGCAATGATCTTCGTCAACTTCGTTAAAATACTCTTCCCCCACTTACTATCTTTTTAATTTTCATTAAGTAACCTCGTAATTATGTCTCGAACTATAAATTTGTTTCAGTTAAATTCTACGAGGAATCCAATCTAAAATTAACTCAAATTATTTGAAATAATTTTTATTATACACATTTCTATATCCGCAATTTAATTGCCGAGAAATTTATCTTCTATTCCGCTTGTAATGACAAGAAAGATGGTCGATGCTTCTTAAGTTAATGTTAAGAAAAAGTCGGCTCTAAAGAGAAGGTACTTTAATGGCTTGATTTCGAATCACGTAGACTCCAGACCTCAGAAGTTTGATTCGTTTCTCTCATTTACTCCTCCTCTCTTCCTCTCTCGCCGCCCTTCGTCATCGACCTTTCGTTTTTCTACACGGTCTCGCGCGCTTTACTCTGGCAGTACCATATACTTACAACATCCATTTCGGATTACGACGTCAGCAACAAGGAAAATTGCGTGGATAGTTCTTGGAATTTAATGTCCGTGAGAGAATGGTCGTTTGAAGAGAAATTTTTTTATTCGATAATCTCACGAAAGACGCCATAAACTTCGTAAATTAACAATTACTTCAACGTATTGTTTCAATCTGTATCTGTGGTAGAAGCGGAAATTTAGAAATTGCAGTTACAACGTCGGATCTCAGATAGTAGCAGTCACGACCGCTATCATATTTCGTCGTTCTACCGCATTTTATAAGACTTTATGAAACCAGAGTGATCCTCTCCCCGAGGTAGAAGTTATTCGTGTGAACGTAGCGAGAATCACGAATAATATTCGCGTATTCTTTCTTGTCACCGTTTCAAGCGGAAGTTGAGACACGATAGTCGTCTACTGATACCAATTATCTTGTAAAGTCAATGACTTCGACGATTATATCTCTACTTTTTTTTTTATTTCCAATCTACAGAATTATCATATTACATTTATTTAGGCTCTACTTAGATGTATTGATTATAATAACAAGTTGTCAAAACCAATAAAAAATAATAACGGCTGTGGAAGTCAACGCAGTTAATAAAGCGATTATTTTATATTCACTCTAAATCTGTAGCAATAAAATTTTACTGCATTAAATTGAAATTTCAATACAGGCATTAATGGCAATTGCGCCAATGTTACTGCCAGTGAATTTTACTGCAAGATAGGAATGGAAAATCCATTCGATAATTAGAGTAAAAAATTTATTTCAAAAAGGAGTGAATTTAAAGGTTAAAATAATGACAGAATAATGTTATATCAAATCCAGATAACAAAGTCTACGAGACAGATTTTGAGCAGACCACATGCTATCAATCTATTAACCTTATTTTTAATCATTATTTTATTTTTAATTATTTTATTCTGTCTCTTATGTTTATGTCAAATGCGTCTCGCCCGTAACGACCATGACAAACGACAAACGTGTGACAAATGGTGTGCTAATGTCGCTTCACTCCTTGCAGTAACATTCAATGCATCTTGCAATGCATTATCAACTAATGCTTAAACCACTTCGATTAATCGAATGAAATAGTCCACTCCTTTATGTAAGAGTAGACAGACTAATTTCAAAGCAGTGAAAATCCATACTTAAAGCAATGACTTTGTTACTCACTTTTGGTAGCAGTAAAATTTTCATTGCTACAGATTTAGAGTGTTTATTTAGTTTATTATAACATAAGATAATCGCACTAATAATTGCGTTGATTCCCACAGCCGTTATTATTATTTTTTATTAATTTAAATTTATGGAATCCTTGCTTCCTCACTTTAAAAATTGTTCAAAAGTTTAATGTATTGCAACACGTAAAGAGATAAGAACTGCAAATAACAGGAGTTTAATTGAAAAATTATCATACAATAAGCACTTTTAGATTAAGTTTTTAATGCTTTGATAAGAATGTATTTCATTATTTTAAATTAAAGTTGCTGGTGAGTGTTCTCATTGCGACATCAAAGATTGGTGGTTTAGAAGTTGTGAATCTCGAGGGGATTTTTCAAGAGCTGCCGTCATTATTCACAGTTTTACAAGTAGTACCGTGTTTCGAAGAACGTTCGCTTTACAAAGTTTTGAAAGTGGTTTCGTTGACGAGAGGAAAACGATCCTACACTGGAGAAAACTCGCCAAGTCCGAGATGATCGCCGGTGCGAATCTCCGCGCTTCTGACGTCATAATCCACATTCCACCTGCGCTTGGTAGTCACGTAAATAGAATACAGGAAGTGAGAATCCGACGTTAAAAATTAAAGAAATTCGAACATAAATGGACGATGAACGAAATTTTTCACACAACCGGATTCTCTCGTTTAAATCACTTCACCCGCCTACTTAGGAGATAAACAGTGTCGTCGGCCACTTAGTCGCTTGCGCGATTTGGGCGAATATCTTAATTCGTCGTATAAATATCGCGATAATGATCGTAGGAGGAGAGGTATCATTGGCGGCAGCAGCATCGATTAAAAGCCGGATACACGTACGATAAAACACGAGAACTTGTTCTGCGATAAGCCCGCACCTGAGAAGCGCAAGAATCTACATCCGTAAACTTATTCTTTTAAGAGGGGAGGAGGGAGAGAAGGAGGGGGAGAGAGGGGAAGAAGAGCGAGGGAAGGGCGAAAGAGAGAAGAAAAAGAGGAGGAAATTATGAAATTATAGCGACTTTCGTGATAAGTTAAATACGCGCATAAATTTATTCAGTTTTACTCACATCAAAGTAATGTAGATCCAGGTATGTAGATCATTTAGTAAGAAAAAACGAATTATCTTTGTACAAGATTACAGAGATTTTTTTTCTTTATCATATTTTTTATATTATTATACGTTGCAAACTTAACACGTTACTTATTTTATTTCTTAGTCGGCTTTGCTGGTTTGTGGATGAATAAAAAGGAAAGGACGGTGAAATGAAAAAACAGAAAAGAACAAATAATAAAAATGGCAATGATTATCCCGTCGATATATTCGGGTCAGCAACTTTAAATGGCAAAGTTATAATCATGACCAATTTTGATCATTCAATAAAACAAATAAAAGATGATTTTGCTGAAGTATATTCTAAAAATTTAGATATAGACCTGAAAATAATTTTATTTGGACTAACAAAATAAGTAGATAATCATGTAGAATCATTAAAGAGGTTGCTAAAGAGAAAAATATC